CAGTTCTCAAACAGCAGCCATGAGCCGGTCTGTGGACGTCGAGTCTGTAAATCCAACTCCTTAAACAGAAGCCGCCAGGCGTTAACACCCAACGTCAGTCCTCCACCGCCAGTCGTCAGCTATCGTCAGTTATGTTGTCAGCTCTGAAGCGTGCGCTAACCATTGTCCGATGTCAGCTATCAGCCCTCGAAGCTCAATCGAGTCCTCCGTCGCCACTCCTCCGTCCCCAACACCGTCAAAAGCCGTCCATCGGCCGGTCGCCACCGGCGGCCTTTGCTCATCACTCCCCCACATTCAGTTCTCCGCCGACAGTCCTCCCCAGCCTGTCCTCAAGCAACGCCGCCCGGCCAGCCGGCCAGCGGCAGCAGCCCGACTGCCGTACCCCGGGGCGCGCGCCACCCGCGCTGGAAATCCTTTGTTCGGCAGAACCGCCCGCCGACCGCGGCCGTGCGGCCCGCTCGGGAGCGCACGTGGGAAACTGGGCCGTCACGACACGGCCGCCTGTCGCTCTCCCCCTCTCTCCGCGCCAGCCTCTCTCCGTGCCGCTCGTCCTCTCTCTCCCGCGCCGCCGCGCTCTGTGCCGGCGTGACGGCCGAGCCGACAGCGGCCGGCCGGGCGGCGCAGCAAACCGCCGACCGGAAAAAGGCACTTTTCGAGAGGCGGCGCGCTGTTGCTAGGCGGCCGCCGCCTCCCCGGTGCACGTCGCCCGTCTAACGACCGCCGTTCCGCGCTCGGTCGTCGACCGGCCGGGTTTTACGGAGCCGCTGGTCGTCGCAGTGGAACACTGCCCCCCTCCCCTCCCCTTCCCCGTCGGCGGCGGGCGGCGGCGGCGGCGGCGGCGGCTGGTGGCGGACGGCGGGCGGCGGGCGGCGGGGCGCGAACGCCCGCAGTTGCCTGCGGGTGCCGGCGACGCGACCTTTGACCCGGTCGGCGGCCGGTGACCCGCGCCGCTGCCGGCGCGCGCTGCTGACCCGGCCGGCGGCAGCCAATTGGGCAGCCTGTGCCGTCCAAGGCCGCGCCACCGCCGCGCCGAACTCAATGAAAAAAGTGAAATCGGGCGGCGGGCGGCGCGCTGCAGTGCTGCCGGGCGGCCGGCGGCCGGCGCAGTGCGGCCGGGCGGGGCTCGTTTTTTGTGGACGGTGTCGGGGGCGAGGGACGGGATTGGCGGCGTGCCAGCGGCAGCGGCAGCGGCGGCACGGAACAGGTACGGCCGCCCGCGGGCGGGGTCCGCGCGCCGCCCCCGGCGCCGCCGTCAGACGACTGACGGCTGCCGGGGGGCGGGGCGATGCTTTTCGTGGGTTCTGGATGGGAGGGAAAGGGCTGGTTGCGACGTGTTGGGACGTGCGCGTGTGGCGCTCAGTGGCGCGTGGATGGCGGATGCGCCGCTGTTGCGTGTCGGCGGCCCTTTTACTCGAGTGCCGGGGCGTAGTTTTGTAAAACGTGTTGAGGGCTGAGAAGAGAAAAAATGCTAAACCGAGCATAAAGCACTCAAAATCTTGATTTCCCCCGAGCCTGACCTACTTTCCTCTCAAAGCGTGTTTGTGTGTATGTGGGCCCTTCCAACTAAATAGGAAATTATCCCCGTCTCGAATGTTTTTTGCTGATAGCGCTTTGCTGTGATCGTTGCTTCACCCAGAAGCCGTGCATGGCAAACAATCCCTTGTACTTGATTTTCCCCGCAACGAGCAGAAACTCTTAGTTTAAACTTTGCCAGTCCGGCAATTTTTGAGTAGCTGGGGTGTTGCCACCTTTGTCACAATTGAGGGCTCCTCAGTTGTGGTAACACAGATGAAATGGTGCCGTGATGGAAATGTTTATATCCCAGTGGGTCGGACTTAGGCCAACAGATGCAGAACTATTACGGCGTAACGGTGAAAAACATCTTAGAAAAAATATTCCCAACGGGTCAAGAGTTAATTAGTTATTGGGCTTCAAGGGTGCATCAAGTGCAATGGTGACTTGCGCTCCAATGCGTCAAAAGAGCGTGCGGTCATTCTCAGCATATTGTATGCACATTATTTCTTCGACAGGGAATGTCTCAAAGCCATTTTTATTTAGCGTAGTGTGGGTGTAGCAAAGTGCCGTGCATTCAGCTTTCTGGCAGGAGGTTATTGATGGGGTGGAAGTCACGTGGGAGGACACCAACAGGCTCACGCAAATGTGCCAACTTGGGAAAGGAAAGTGCTTGATCGGAACCGGAATAGCCACATAACGCATAGAAGCTATTCTGTTGAAAACAGATGGTATGGTTAGGACCAGGCATGAAGACGAATGCTAGCTCCGGTTTCGGCTACAGCCTTGCAAACTCGCATTTTTACTGCAATGACCCGGATCTGGCTTCAGCTTTGGGTCATTTTCCACGGTTGGCTTTGAGCTTTGTTGGGTTTTGCGTCATTTCAAACAACTGGCTACGGTGTCGGCTTCGACTCTGAATATTTCAACAGCTGTCCTCGGCTTCAGCTTCTGACCAGTTTTGGCATTATAGCTCCGGCTTTGATTCCATGGAGACCTAAACTGCTTCAGCTTGGTTATGTCGCTTTTTACACTGCAGTTGCGGCTGTGTTTCGCAAAAACAGGCTTGCCTGTTCGATTGTCCCAATATGCAACATAACGTGTCAAGGCTGTGACGCATACATGACTGTAAGCCTATTCAGTCTCATTTTTAGGACCAATTAACACCTAACGAAGACCATAAAACTGACTGTACGAAACACTGCGAACATACTGACGCAGAAGGCGAGGACAATAGTCCGAAAAGTCCATACCTTATGCTAGCACCTTGCCACAACCCCTCCATAAAACTCTTCTTTGCAACTTTACGTTGCAAGCAGACGCAAAAATGGTTTGGGCTTTGCAAAACCACGTGGTACGCTAGATTCTGCTTCGGCTTCGGCCTCGTGCGTGATTTTTAATTGAGGGTGATTTGGCTTTGGCTTTGCGTTTCATAAGCACTAGCTTTAGGTTGAGCTTCGCCCGCATAAAGTTCGGAGCCACTGGCTTCGGATTCAGCGTCGTGTTTCGAAAATACGAAGCCACTGGCTTGGACCGTTATTTAATTGTCGGAAGGGCTTCTGCATAACGGCCCTTTGAAATTTAAATTCAGAGGGTGACCGTTAGGCCCGAGCCACCACTTACCCGCCGGCAGTCCGTACAAGTGCTGAACGCGCGAAAACGGCAAAGAAGTCATCAGAAATTTTAATTTTGCTTATTCACCTAATTACTGGTTATTTCGAAAACCTCAAAGCTACGATTCTCAGCACTGTCGAAATTTGACATCCGAGGTATCAGTCCGTCTGGATATATGATGATCCAGACGGACTTTTACGTCCATAAGTCCGTCTGGATTCTTACATATAGGAATAATAATCCAGACGGACTGACGACTGCGTAAACACTTCTGTGTGGAGGATCCCAAGGAAGGGCTGGGATGGTTTAAAGAATTTAGAGCTACCTTTGTGAAAGACCTGCGTTATGACCAAATACTCTTATGACTGACAAAGGCTCTCCAAACACCCACGGATGCTTTTGAGGCAGACTATGGCCGATGGGTTCTTGACCCAAGGATGATCAAGGGGTCACCAAGGCGAAAAAACAGGCACTGCACAATTAGATGGTAAGGCTTATTAGATGGTAAGGCTCACAATTACCTGGTCATAGGATGCAAGGCTTTCACGACATTCAGAACGAATGGGGTAAACGTTTTACGGTCTCGTAGTTTCATTATGTTCAAATGGCACAGAACAGTTGGGATAATCAAAGGGACAAAGTTGTAATATGTCCACAGCTCAGGGTAGTCAATCAAGGCCGCGAAGACAGTTCCATGACAGATATTATCCAGCCAAGGAGGCCAAGAACGTCAGGGGTGCCTACGGCTGTCAACAGGCACAGACATTCAGTTGCTACTAATTGAATTAGGGCAA